GTTAAAATTGATACGAGAAACTTGCCTGTGGTTTTAATTTAAAAATGCGAGCTCAAAAGTGTAGAAATTTTTAGTAGAAAACGAATAATTAATTAATTTTCAATATGGCGTCGTCGATGTATTAGACAATATGATATATTAATTGTTAATAAATAATTAATGAAACAGAATTTCACATTAAAAATGATTCGAGAAACTTACATAGTATTCTAACTTCAAGATGCAAGTTCAAAAGTTCAGAAATTTTTTGTAGGAAACGTGTAATTAGTGAATTTTCCACGTAAAATATTCGAAGTAACGAAAATGTTTTCTGTCTTTTTTGCATAATATTGCTTTTCTTCTCTATCACTTCAAATACCTCCTGCATTTTCTGTTATGCTAATAACAAGTCGAAGCTTCAGTGATCCAAACGCGAGATGGCGCTGATGTCAGAAATATTTTTATTAGTATCTAACCTATTAACAAAATATATTTCATCAATAATTAGAATAAAATTAAAAAAAGAAATGTAATAAATTAAATGTTAAATTTATTATATATATATGTAATTGAGAAATTATTTAATTGGGAATGTATGAAGAAGAAATGATAATATATAAAGAAATGAATAACAAAAAAAAGAGAAATTATTTATATATATCTATATATATAAATATACAAAAATAGACATGTGTAAGATTGTATATTTAAAATATGTAGAAGTTGAATTAAATAGATCTTGTTGAAATTTTTAATTAATAATTAATTAATTGAAAATAAAGTTCAGCATTATTTTTTGAGTGTCAAACTATCTTATCATAAGACAGGATAATGTAGAATAAGAATTAAGAACTAACGCTATCTATTGAATATTTGTGAAAAGATTATTTTAAAAAGATATCTTTATTATTAAAGAGATGGCGCTGATAGTCAATTCTTATACTATTTCTGTCCTTTTCTTACTGTTTCTTTTCTTTATCTCTTTATGTTTCATTTGCGGTATTCTCAAGATAGCACTGATTTCGATATTTTTATCTTATTTTCATCTTTCTCATACTAGTTGTTTTCCTTGACTGTACTTTAGAAATTTTATTTTAGATATAATTTTGGCACCAATATTTGAATATCTTTATCTTTTTTGACTTATCTTTAATTAAAAATCTTAACAAAGAATTTATTTGTTTCAATTTTTATTTATCATAAAAATATACATTTTATACATCTATTTTTATATATTTATATCTTTTTTTTATATATTTTAATCTTATATTTTTGTAATCTTATATATCATAAAGATATATACATATATATATATACATATATAATATGTTTTATATGTACATAAATTTTTTTTCTACATATAAGTATATATATTTATATAAAACAGGTAATAATTAAAATATATACAATTTATATAAGATTTTTAAATTATTTTATTTACTGAACATGTTACATGATGGCAATTCTGAATGATTAATGAATTGATATCGATCGAAAACTTATGAATGAACGTGATGATAACAGCGAGAAATTTAATGCGATTATACATACATATACATACATATATGTAATACGTGAAAAAGGCGCGAAATTAAGTTATATCCTATGATAAATTTATATTAGCCTAGGATTAAAACGGCCTATATGTAATATGAGACCAGTCGGATTGTGTCGTACAAAATAAAGAAATGGTTGATCCAATTTCAATCTAGGTTTTTCCTCTGCTCTTTCAACATTTTTCGTTGTTTCCATGAGTGAAATCGTACGGTAATTTTTCGATTGATCATCGATTGGCTGAATTATTCTTTTACTGAATTGTTCCTCTATATTCGATAGCTCGCTATGCCGAGAATTTCGTAAAGAAGGACTTGCTGGATAAATTTCCACGTGATGTCGTCCATTAGCGATATTTTCATCACCGCATGTACTGAACAAATTCATCTGAAAATAATGTTATAACATGTATATATCATGAAATAAGAAAATAAGAAAAAAATAATTGGAAATCGTTTTATGAAACGAGTAAAAATAATATAAAATGGAAAAAATTAATCACCTGCAAAACATCGGATAAAAATAGGCGATTTCCGATTCCATTGATTCCTTTAAAATCAGCATGATTTGAAAATAACTGATCGAGTCCTAACCTCTTCAAGGCAGCGGTAGCGTTTACAATGGATCGATGACTGAATTTGGGCATTTGTAATTCAAGGCCCGTTCTAGGTATAAGAACTTTGAGCAGTTTATCCCAACTTCCATCTTGAAATGCTCCTTTCATGAGCCTTTGCTCAAGGCGGTCTAAAGTATCGCCAGGTGCAGCATGACCCTGTTGACCAGGAACCAGAAACACGGTAGAAACAATCTTATCGATACCTCCAAGAGCAATTGCAGTGGCGTCTAAACTAGGTTCGTAACCCGCAAGTACGTTCGATCTCCAAACGGTGGCCGGAACAGGAATCAATTTTCTCAATCTGTGAGCGGACGAAACAGCAAAATATAATTCTCCATCTCGACCCGTCGCACTTGCTGAACTCGTATTACAATCCGTTTGAAATACATTTGCCGAGATAGCAGCGAGCGGCGATTTTAATGGAATCGAATTGCTCCTCACGAAATCTTTTATCCTGCCTCCGGTTTGTTTTCTAATCAGAAGATTGGTTCGTCGACGGGCAAGATCGCTGATAGTGGCAAAATTCACCTCAGCCACTAATCCTTCGTAAAATTGTTGCGCTTGCTCTTTATAGAACGGCAACAATCGTCTTACTTTGGCTTTATCCGCGAACAATTCACGTACAAAGGCCGCGTTCACGATACCTTGATTCCTGGCCAAACTCACCGTGTCGGTCACATTTTGAAAAGTGAGATGCGGGTTGAAAGTGGCCACATTGTCGAGTCCGAGCACCTCGTTCATTTGATCAGAGGTGGAGCCTCGAGCACCGAGAAATATCATCGACAAGAGACTGATCATGCCGAACGGTGACAGAACGAGCGATCTTCCGCTATCCAAACCTTTGTTCGCTGCGATCCAAAATTTAACGGCAAGCTCGTTACAAAGCTTGGAAAAATTTATGATGTCCACACTTGCGTTCCTGATGCTAGTATCCAATCCACTGACACTTTTCGATGCGTCTAGAGTAAATTTCGATTCCTCCATCTCGTTCACGGAGGTAGATTGAAAATGTGTTTTCCAAATCTCGGTTGAATTTGTTTTCATAGCCATAGTCAATGCTGTGATCGATAGAGGTGTGCTTTGGGTTGGTTGTTGTTTCATCGTTGCAGTGACTTCTGTTGGCGTTAAAGATGGTGTTACTTGATGCAACGATATCCGTTGCCACGTGTTTTGTTGCGAATTTACATTCGTGCTATTCATCTTATTCTGTAACATGGAACTTGCCTTCATATCGACATCACTATAGTATGGTTCATTCGGCTTCTTCGTTTTATTCTCAGATTTATTATTCCAATCGGTAGTGTAATTCATCGTTGCACTTGTGGTAGTATCTTTGTCCTCGTTCGATTCTTTCGTGATGGGATTCATAGTGGTAATTGTACTCGAAAATTGACTAGTTTCGCTCTTCAACGATACTTTTGGTATAGCGGTCGTTACGATCAGTTGAGGAATAGCGATGAAAGACTTTGTATCGTTAAAAGATAGCAAGGTAGTGCTATTCCATTTGAGATTCGTATCGTTTCTTTGCTGCGTCTCTTTTTTTAAGGAACCTTGTACAATCGAATCCTTCGAATTATTCTCCGCACTAAACGGACGCGTAGCAACCGTGCTAGATTCAATTATTACGGGACGATACGCACTTTCCTTATCATTTTCTTGCGACGATATTTCTGTCGCGTTAATCGAATCAATCTTGGAATCGTTATTCTTCTGCGACACTTCTTCAGAAATTTTTCCAATATTTGGAATTTTGGTTTTTCCGTTCACGGAGGTAAATTGACTCGATATCGTCGTCATCTCGTCGTAAACGGGATTAAACGTATGCTCAATTGATGTACTATTTACCAACTGAGTATCGGTTTCAGATATAACGGAATTTTTAACAACAGCATCAGACATGGATAAAGATACGGTGGTGGTGATGGTAGATTTCGGAGTAACCGATAATTCACTTTGCGAGTGAGAAGATTCCACGTCTGTTAGTGTAACGGCCACCATTCGATCCGTTATTCCTGACGTTGTCCCATCATCATTTTCGCTAGAGAATTCTGGCAAATTCTCCTTCGTCGTGGAGATACTTTGAATTTCGTTCTCGCTCGTCGAATTTTCTCTCGTTGCATTATTCGTATCGCCTGTAACCGACGATAACTGTGAAACATCTGGCGAAACATCTGTCGAGTTGATCCTTTGCGGAGATGACGACGTTATCGACGTGTCATCGTTCAAATTGAGTAAATTCAGATTGGTAATAAGCGCGCTGGCTACAGTGTTAGGTAACAGATTCTCCGTCAAATCGTTCGGCAAAGTAAGCGACTCGGTCACGATTTTACTCGTTTCGGTCGGAGCGGTGTGAAGTATACTCTCGATAATCTCGACAGGTCGTAGGGGATTAAAATCGGCTGCTGTGCTCTCGTTCATCGTCGATTTCGTAATATTTGAATTGTCTGAGTGAACATTGGGAGTGACGGTTTGTATAATGTCGGATTTCGTCACGATATCGAAATCATCGGTCATCTGTAGATCCGTCGATACGATCGAAGGGGACGAAACGCTTTCTTCATCGATTTTTAACGTCGTCATTACCGTCGTTTCTTGAACACGTTCCTCAAATGTATTATTTCCATCTTTCGAATCTTCGCCGATAACTGATGGACGTGTCGTTCTCTGAGCGACGGTAGATGTGGTACATTTGAAAGGATCGTTGCACATTTCCTTCTCGTCAGAAATCGATTCGAATTCGTCGTCGGAGGACGAAGGTGACGAAGAGGGAATCCTTTCGAAGATTTGACCGATTATATTTGACAACGAGTCTAATATTTCTGTAGATTGAATCGATTCGTCGATTGTATGATCGCTCGTCGTCGGTTTCGTTATCATCGTCTCCTGTACAATCGACGATTCTGTCGATTGCGAACTCGTTTCGTTGTATCTGTTCGTACCAGCGAAAGAAGAAGAATCCGACGGCAACGTAGTGAAAGGTTCGTTCGCGATCGATGTTTGAACTTGATTCATAGACGGTGTTCCCATCTTCGATGGAACGTCGCTTATCGGTTTTATTTTCGTCTTCGTTGCCAGCAAATCGATACTATCGGTAACTCCGTCGATAACCGAGGAATCGTTTTTCGAATCCAACGCTTCGTTCGTAGAATCGTGGTAATCGTTTTTAGTGGATTCGGAAGAAGATGAAGGCGAGGCGCTGATCGTCGTTGACTTTGTAACAATTACAGTATTCACAGACGCCAAATTCTCTTCGTCATTTTCGATCTTTTCTTCCAACGGCGGCATAATTTCAGTCAACTTATGGAGAGCGGGAGTCTGAGCGGTGGTATACCGGGAGATCAGATCGGCATCTTGTTCGGTCGTGATCACGGACACCGGTATCATTAATTTCTCCGTATAAGAGATTTCTGTTGTCGGTTTGATCGCCGTTGACTGGCCCTGTTGCGTTTTGTCTTTTTCATTTTTAACGATCGTCTCTTCAACGTGCTTGACATCCTCCTGTCCTACCGACGACGCAACTTCGATCGTCGTATTAGACTTCGACGAGACCGAAGACGATTCATTGCGGATAACATGATACACGGATGGCGTTGGCTTCGATGTTGGCCTCTCGGCGTAATGACTTTCCTCCACCTTATTTCCATACTTGTCACCAGCCAATATGGCGGGTAAAATATTGCTCCACTCGACGTTCACCTTTTCTGGGATGACC